GGAGGGGGGAGGGGAAGCGGCAGCCAGACATGCCCTCCTGTGGCTTGGGGGGGGGGGGGGGACGCGCGCGCGCCTCCTTAGAAGGGGGGGGGGGTCTTTTGGGTGAAGAACTGCACGTCGTTGTCGGCGTCGTTGGCCATCTCGTTGAGCAGGGCGCGGACCTGGTCCAACGGGCCGTGCTGCGCCTCGGCGCGCACCTCGGCCGGCAGGCTGCTGACCAGGATCCCGAGAGACTGAACGGCGTTGAAGCGAATGTTCGGCACCACATCCGAGCACAGGTCCACCACCACCGGCAGGATGGTGGAGAGGGTGATCTCCGCGCCGACCAGCGGGGCCAGGACATTGATGGCGGACAGGGCAGTCATCCGGTACAGGTAGTTGGTGTGAGTGCCCAGGCTCAGCACCTCGGGGAGGATGGTGCGAATGGCCCAGTCCACGCCGAAGACCCGGGTCAGCTCGCCGAAGTTGACCGTGGCCACCTGGCGAATGGCGTAAACGGGGTCGCCGAGCCAGGCCAGGCAGAAATGACAGAGGTTCTCGTTGAAGTACTCGACACCCTGAAGGCAAGGGGAGAGGGGGCGGAGAAAGAGAGAGAGAGAGAGAGAGAAAGAGAGAGAGAGAGAGAGAGAAAGAGAGAGAGAGAGAGAGAGAAAGAGAGAGAGAGGGGGGGGGGAGAGAAACCGGGAGTCAGTATCGGACAAGGCGAGGGAGGGAAGGGCATGGGGCGCCGGCGAGGAGAAGGAAAGGAGAGCCCCCACGCACCACATGGTCGGCAATCTGGGGGATGCACTTGATGATCTCCTTGCGCACGCGCCACTTCTTGTCGGCGGCCAGGTCGATGATGGCCGGCAGGAGATGGGACGCAATCAGACCGATACCGACAACTGTGGCCGGCGCGGACAGGGGGAGGGGGGATGCACATGGAAGCCATGCACCACATGGGTTGGGGGAAACGGCGAGTGGATCCCTAATATTAGCGGCATGCCGGACAGGCGGAGTGGAAGACAGGCCCCCGGTATGTGTGTGTGTGTGTGCGTGGGTGTGGGTGTGTGTCTGTGTGTGCAAGCACACGCGCAAGAAGAGGGACAGAAGGCAAAGAAGCAGATGGAAATGCGCACCGGAGTTCACCTCATCCAACGTGCGGATGACATTCAGGCGAACATCGGAGAAAGTGTCCGACAACAGGGTCTGGATGATGGGGATCAGGTACTGCTCGGTGCCCTCCTTGCCGAGGATGGGGGCCAGGCTGCCAACCTCGGCGGCCAGGCTGGCCCGGACCTGCTGCGACTGGTCCACCGACAGCGACCCGATGGAAGAAGAAATGTAGGCCACGGCCTCCTCGTGCGAGAGGAGACGCGCGTAGGCCGGGAGCTTGGCCGCGGCCGCGGTGCGGACCTCCGCCTCGTCGTCGCTCACCAGCAGCGACAGAGCGTCGGACAGATGCTCCAGCTGCTGCTTGGCCTTGAGGGCGGTCCCGAGCTCGGCAATGTTCTCGGCGGCCATGTAGCGCACGCGCCAGGACTTGTCCTTGACCAGGTTGCGGGTGTGGGTGGCCACCGCGAGCGCCGCCTCGGCCGAGGCCACCTTCTCGATGATGGACACGGCCACCGGGACCGCCAACAGGCGGACGGAGTCCTGGTCGTCGGTGGCGATCGTCCGGAACATGGACACGCCGTCCGACACGAGGTGCTCCTCGGCGAAGAGGCGGATGAGGGTCTGGAGTGGGGTGGGCAAGAGAGAGAAAGAGAGAGAGAGAGGAAGGGAGAGCGACACAAGAGCGCGGGTCAGGGAAAGGAACGGAGAGCCTGCCGACGGAGGACAAGCAGAGAAGACCGCCAGCGACGAGCGCCACAGGGGGGGCATGGAGGCAAACACGCACCTTCAGGTTGGTAGCGGCGTCGCGCCGTGGCACAACAAACGAGTCGGACAGCAGACGGCTGAAGAGGCTGCAGGGGAGGGAAGGCAGCGGGGAACCGGTGGGAAAGCGAGAGGGAGAGAGAGAGAGGGGGGGGAGGGATGGGCTGGAGGGTGAGACTCGGGGGAGGAGAGGGCCACAAAGGACCCACAAGGGCGGGAAGGGACGAGGGGGATGGGAGGAGGACATGGATGACATACCGGCGGAGCTGGGCCTGGAGCTCGGGGGCCACGCGCGCGTAGACACACTCGAAGAGCCCGCTGGCCGTGGTCCGCGGAGTGTAGTACTCGTCGGAGACCAGGGACTCGATCAGCGGCACGAAGTGCGTGGTCACGTCGGCGTCGGACATTTGCTCGCAAATGTGCACCAGGGAGATGATGGAGGCATTACGGACGATGCTCTCCTCCTGGCCGGCCAGGTTGCCCAGCGGCGGGAGGAGAGTGTGCGCGAACTCCGGACCGCCAACCAGCGGCACGAAGTTCATGAGCTCCTCGGCCAGGGCCAGGAGGATCTCGTCCTCCTCGCGGTCGGACTCTGCGTGTGTGTGTGTGTGTGGGGTGCGGAGAAGGGGGGGGGGGGGGGGGGGGGGGGGGGGGGGGGGGGGGGGGGGGGGGAGGAGGGGGGGGGAGGAAGGGAAGAAGGGAAGAACATACCACATGCTGTGAAACGGCGTGACAGTAGTCGCCAAGGGTCGCCGAGCGTCCGGCCAGGCGCAGGCGCGTGTCAGCCTCAGGACCACACCGGAGGCAGGTGGCGGCTGTCGAGCCACGCGCCAGAGGAGGCGACAGCGAAACGGCCCCGAATCCAGGACAAGACCTGTCGTCGGGGAGGAAGAGCGGAGGGAGGGCGTCAGGACCGGGCACACCGTGAAGCGGGCACCGACACGGGGGGGGGAGGGCGGGTGGAAAATGGGTGTGTCGGCCGGCACGCACTGGTTACTCCAGATCAGGCGCATCGAATGAAGGAAGTGCCCACTGAGGCGAATGGCCTCCGGGAGGAGGACCCCCGGGTCGGCGGGAGGGCCTGCCTCCCAGGGCCCGGGAAGAGCTTGGGCAATGCGCAGATCAAGCAGCAGGCGCAGCACCGTCCGCAGCAGGCTGGTAGCCCCGGACGCAGGAGGGCAGGCAATTAGCGACCGCGCAAGGGAGCATGCATATTGCAATGGCGGGACACGCACGCATCGGCCGCCCGGGGGCCGGCGGTCGGGCCAGCCTGCGCCGCCATGCCACCGGGCAACCACCCCCGGAGGGTATCAATCGACACATGGGGCCCGGATCCGGGCACATCATCGCCCGGCATTTGCAACAGCATGCACCGGAGCACAAGCAGCTGGCCAACCGAGGAGGTGTCAGTCCCGGGGGGAGTGCTGTCGCTCGGACCCGGGCCGTCGGCCGGCGGTGCCAGCAGGCCGAGCGTGCGCCAGGCCAGGAGGCAGCTCGGCCCGGAAGCGGTGTAGAGCTCGTCGGCCGGGCCGGCCGCCGCCGCCGCTCGCGACAACAAATCCCAGAGCCCGGCGCCGTCGGCTGCCAGGCCGATCCGGGGCGCCGGCGCCAGCGACGCCAGCGGCAGGAGATCCCCCGAGCCAGCGGGAGACGCGGAGGCCGGAGCCATCCTCGCGTGGCACTCGGTCACCAGAGTCCCAAGAGGGGAGGCTAGCCCGGGGAGCAGCGGGACTTCGCCCTACCAGGGGGGGAAGCAGACAAAGACGAGGTTGGAGTCGGGGGGGAGGGGGCGCGAGGGAGGGGGCGCGAGGGAGGGGGCGTGAGGGAGGGGGCGGAGGAGGACAGTGCCAGGGTGATCTGCAGCTTCCACAGCACAAGAGGCACATCCCTTTTCCGGGGGCCCATCCCCCTGCCGCTAGGGCCAACCC